CCTATGTATTAATAACTTCTTCAAAATCTGATCTTGAAGAAAAACTTTCTGTATCCATTGAGTTATCAACTAAGTCGTCTGTATCCCAATCTTCTTCGCTGCAGCTTGATATTATATTCATTTCATGTTCAGCTTCAGCTTCTACTTTTTCTGACAACTGGTTTATATTAAAAGTACTTGTTGAAGGGGCCATATGAAACTCATTTACAATAGAATGTGTTTCACTAACATCTGACTGAATGCTCTTTTCAGTGTTTTGGGAATTTTTTTTCTGAACCTGTTTTTTATGTAAATTGTTTTGGTTCTGATGAATGTATAATAACTTTCCAGCCCGCTCATTAGTTAACTTATTCCTTTTTTTTGTATGGATGAGTGAATATGTGCTAAATGATCTTTCGGTAGCGGCAGATGATGAAGGTAAAGATAATATTCCTGATGCAATTTTACTTAAACTACTACTTCCACAAATTCCATTCCACCAAGTGGAAGGGCTCACATTTTCTATTTCTAGTGACCATATAAATTGTTTACTCCATAACCCTTCATGTGTTCTATATTGAGCCAATTCACACATTACATTTTGTGTTTCTTCAGGGATCAATAATTTGGAAACAAGAAATATATACTCAACTCCTTCAATATCATTGTTTGATTCCAATTGTCTTCCTTGGTACCTTGGGTCAAGTATAGCACTAGCATAGTGTATTGGATGAAGTGCCATAGTTTTTCTATTGTCAAAAAATAACAAAATAGATTTTTTTTCTTCTTTAGACAAAAAGTTTATTTCAGGTAGTTTGTTTATCATAATTGATTTTATATCAAGCAGTGCATAAAACACATCACTTATATATGGTTTATCAGCTTCTAATCTTGTTATCCATTCAGCAATGGGCTTAACAATATTTAAAATTTGATCAATTTTGTTCCAAAATGAAAAATCGAGAATCAACAATTTTAAATCTCCTAGTTTATCAATAATATATTTGTCTTCAGACCAGGCTAACTTACGGAGGGATGTTTGATTTTGAATTAAACTTTGTAAGCATGAAACTAATGAGGCCCAACGGGTTTTTACTGGCATTTTTAATGAGATGACTTTATTTGTAGATTTTTGAATATTTAATAATGTTGCCTTTAGTATATGAACATTATTAATACCTTTAACAACCCTTTTAGCATCATCTTCAATGTTTATACAACTTTTTATTTTAAGTATATCTTGAAAAAGTAGATTTAGTGTATGACAAATACACGCATAGTAGGCTATTGGTAAATCTTTATACTTAGAATCATTTTGCAGAATACTCCAAGACTTTTTCATTGCAGCCGCATTGTCAGTAACAATTCCTAAACAACGTTTTTTTCCTAATTCGTCTATTACTTGACTAATTTCTTTGGCAACATATTCTGCAGTATGACGTTCCGTTGTTGTGCTAATGGATTTAAAAACTACTGGTTCAGGTGTGGTTACAATTACATTTAAAATTGGTTCATTCCTAAAACATATTTAATCAATTAATTAAATTACTAAAATATGGTTCCATTGTTAAATCATTATTACCTAATATTACTCCACCCATCAATTTGAACTCCATAAACATAAGCATCATTAATTTTTTTTCGAACATCTAAATTAATTAGATTATACTCATAGTCTAACAATTTATGAGATAATATAAAACGTGTTGGAAGTTGAAAACTTGGTCTTAATGCTTTAAAAAACTGTATCCAGTGGTTATTTTCTACTATAGACAATGGCGTGGCACTGGAAAATATAGCAGTACCTAAAAGTTTCCATAAACGTTCCTGTAACCATAATATAGGTATAAAATTCAATATGATGTTCATGATTTCATTAATAACTTAAAAACTAAAAAATAAATACATGTAATTTACTCATATTTGATATTATAATGTAAGTACTAAGTTGTACTATTTTGATTTTTAATAAATAAGTATTTCCAATAGCTTTAGTTTAATCTTTAATTCATTATGGCATTATATAGGTATATAATTTAATTGAATGCATAATGTAACATTTTGGAATGAATAATAAATTAAATATTAAAATGTCTGTTAATTGCCAAACATTATTCATCTTATAGTTAAGTATCATACATATAAAAAACAGTATGAGATTTAAGCATTTAGCTATATTAATAAAAATATATTACATTTAAAACTTAATAGTAGATAATAATAATATAATATACTTGTTTATTTTTACTAGAAATTGTATATTTAATCACTAATTAGTTAATTGTAATTATATTAGAGTTGGCATGTACTAACGTTACTAACTATCAATGAATTATTATAAAATTATTTTAAAATTATCATTACTTGTTCATTTGTTTTCATGTTATCCATAAACGATATTAACTTTCCGTTTTCCATTGTAGAAATAGCATTATTTTTAACAGTTTCCTGTTTTTCTAAAGCCACAGATTGTTGGAGATGTAATTTGTTTGATACCTACCTGCACATTTTCTGAGTCAATATTCATTCAAATATTATTGTAGGAATACCTACCTATATTAAAATATTATTACATTATATTACATAGGTACCTACCTTATTTTTTGATACGATGTTCTTAATTGATTCTGGCACTTTTGGACATTTAGAAATATGAATTGCCATTCTCGTAACATTTTCTTTGTAAGTGTTGTTACAAAATAGACATTTTTGTCTATTATTTTGACACGCTTGAAAATATTGTTTCTTAATTTGTTGAGGCTTCATGACTTATTATAATATTGTAATCATAAAATAAAATAAAATTGAACAAAAGTACGAAAACACAATTATAACATAATATTTTATAATCACAATTATATTGAAAATTATTATTATTTATTATGACCATGCTATTGCCTATTTATAAGTTTATAATAATATTGTATTCAAAATAAATGTGATGAGATAAAGATAAGAGATAACGTATCGTATTAAACAGTACCAGTAACCGCGTACACCATATCACAATAATTCGTATCACGTAACTGTCGTTATCATTTTATAAAAATCCTAATTTGTATTATAATCCTAATATCTTGATAGAAAATACAAAGACATACAAATAAAGTGGTCACTCAACTGTTTGAGTGGTAAAAAAAATGTAAATTGTAAATTGTTTTTTGTAAATTTACGGTAAATTTACTTTACCAGTAAAATTTTACATGGTAAATTTACGAGACTCACATCACTAGTCCCTGGCATAAAATAGTAAGTTTGGTGTCAACTGTCAATATTTTCCGAGATCTAAAAATATCAGGTGGGGAAATTACTGATATCGATAAAATAGTTGATTGAAAAATATCATGGATATCGCATATCGCAGTGTTTATCTGTTTAATATATAACCTGTACATTCAACACGGTCCGTTTAGTAGTAGGTTATTAGTAGTGCAGTACGTATTTATTTTGTTAAAAGCTTAAAAATGGATTTAAATAAAATGCAAAATGAATTTAATAAAGCAATTTCATTAATTATGGATGCTAAACGTGATGACAGCAAATCGTTCATGAATAATGAAGAATATGATCTTCGCATAAAAGATGTAAAATTATCCAAGACTCAAACAAAATGCAAAAAAGATTATAGAAATATTCGTAAGTACGACGTTGTTTTAATAAATGATAAAGTGCGCTTAATTAAAGCCATGAACCATGATAATGAGAGTATACGTTATTTCGTTAAAAATTAAGAGGTATTCAATATTCTTCACACATGATTTTTTTGAGTCTTTGTACCGAATGTCATAAAAAATCATCTACCTAATCCAAAAAAAGGTTTTGTTTCTAAACCAATTTTGCATTCAGCATACAACTCCCGTGCACAAATAGATCTAATTGATATGCAAAATTTTAAAAAGCTTAAATTACATAAATTAAAATGTTAAAAAATACTCGTTTATTTATTGATTATTTATTAAGCTGATAGTAGATTAATTAATAATTATGTTTGATAAAAGTAATATTTAAATAAATCAGATTAAATTTAAAAAATGTGGCATCTTTGCCTACCATCGTTAGGAAATGATAACATATACTAGGTGATGATATCATTTCCTTTCGATTTTAGGAATTGTCAACATTTACTAGGAATTGTCATCATTTCCTAAATGTCAACATTTCCTGTAACATATATACCTCATTAGAATTATAAAAATAATTGTAATTTTTAGTTTCTATGATACAACAATTATTTTTATTTATTATATTATGTAATTGTACCTAGTTGTTATTTTTAAAATTTAAAAACAAAAACTTTATAGGTATACTAGCTGATCCCGCACACTTTGTTGCCCGTAAAAACTGTGACTGTTCAACTCTTTTTGGATGTAACTCGCTGCAGTAAGTGGAATTAAACCACCCCGGTAAGCAATCCGACTATGTCAGATCGCAGACGATGTGCGACAGCATATCAGGTAGTCAATCCATCTGCGGTACATTGCAGACACTGCAATGATTGTCTATAAATGCAACTCTGCCACCTCGGTAGGAAAATGCGACCATCAGATTTAATCCATACTGGGAAAATAGTTGTTCTACCAACATTCAGCGTTTCGCGTCAATCGTCAGTTTAACATACTCTAATTATATTAAAATCATAACCAATAGCAACCTTATAATAAACAAAAATATATTATTATTTAATTTATTTTCTTGCTGGACAGATGGCGCCTCTATTGTTTTTCTTTTACATCCAGATGTCTACTTTTCCACTGTACTTTCCTAAAATTTTCTTTAGTAAAAACCTGGTCCAGGTAATCACAAACACAACAAACAAAAAATCAGCCAAATACGCCCAGCGTATTCAATTGATGAATTGTTATACATTTTTGGTTCCATTTTTATATATATAGATATAGATAACTTTATTATATATTTAATAAAACAATATAACATAATATTAAAAATGAAAATAAAAAAAATACTTTTTTACAAATAAAAAAAAAATACTTAAAAACAAGGGTTTTTATGATAAAACCGGTTCAAAAAATCCTCAAAGAGCCAGTGAAATAGTCATTGCAAAGGGAACAACGCTTAGGTTCCAAACGATTAAGAAAATCTTCACATATTATTTTATGGCCACAGGGTATAAAGGCGTATGTTCTTTCTTCCACAGTACATATTATACACAATTGATGTTGATTTTCCAATGAATGAAGAACGGGTGGAATTCTCACAAAAGGAATGTTATTCATATCTAGGTGCCGTTGCCTAGCCTCATGTTCCATCATCACAATCATATCGGGATCCCTGTCTTTTGGGGTATAATAATCTTCCTCATTTTCCAAATTAGAGAACATAGTTCAAATTAAAAAATACATTGTTTAAGTTATAAATTTATTGCTCTTACCACTCATATCAGCTGCGGTTTCCTGGTCTAGGTCTACTACCTCATCATCACTGACGTCTAAATAAATTTTGAACAGTTAATAAACTCTAAGTGAACAGTAATAAATACATAAAACAACTTTATTCTTAACAAAAATATTTCTTCTTTCAGGATGGACCTGATTTTCAACAGCTTCATCTAAAAGAAAATAAATAAATGCATTTCATGCTTTAAAGTTTTAAACCATAAATTAAGTTTAGATTTACCATCCATATGGTTCAATGCTTCTGCATTGGGTATATGTAACAACTGAGGTACTTCATTTTCAACAACTTCATCTAAAATAAAACAACTGTCAATGAACAAAGTAATTTATATTATATTGATAAATTGCTTTTTCTAAATTACTATAAATTTGTCCTATTGCCAGTGCTCGCATTCTTTCCTTGTATAAAGCTACACTATAAGAACAACGTTTCAAAAAGGTTCCTACGCTTATCGTTAGCAACGTATTTTGCGCGTTTTGTATTTAAAATGACTAAACCATTGTCTGTTTGGTTCAGCTTTATTGAATAGTTGTCAATAAGTTTGCATATATTTCCTTAAAAAAAAAAAAAATTATTACAACACAACAAACTAGCTTGTATAATATGTAGTGTAATAAAATGTTTTATTTTACCTAAAAATACCCAAATATTTGGATGAGGTCTGGAACATTTGTCGTAATTTATTGTGGAACGATTCTACATTGTTATTAGTCCGAAATTTTTTTTTGTACACAGACAGTACTTCTACACCAACGCTTTGCAGCCAATACCTGTTACAAATTAATTTTAATAATTATTTTTACAAATATTTAGTAGGTATTACAAACACTAATTTTACTCAATTATAGTTTAAGGTTTACATACTGTTCATAGTCATTGAACAACCTGAGCATATTTACATTATGCATAGATGCATAACGCTTTGCTTCAATAAACTCTTCTTCGATTTGATGTGCTGGAAGTAAAGGAATTACCATGATCATCTTCAATGTTTTTAAAGAGGCTTCATTGGTTGATTAAATTCAAAAAACCTAATTTTTTCATTTTGTGCCAAACAGCCTAAAAATGTATTATTTTTTATGATTTACGTATATTGATAAATTTTGTATAAGTTTTGTAATTTAAAAATTACTCACTTGGTTAACATGAAACCAACACCCATGGGCTGCAGCTGTTGGAAAGTGCCTGATTAGTTCTGTTCTCAAAGCTGCTTCAAAGTCTGTCAAAATAACTGTAGGTCTAAATTCTGGAAGGAGATTATGTTTAACGTAATGGAGAGCTGCATCATATGCCTCTACAGTTTTCTTCTCTATTAGAACATAAACTAAAGGTATACTCTAAGACATAAAAAAGTAATAAATGTATTTTCAATGTGATTTTAATTTTAATTTATATAATATTACCATTCTATTAAAAGGTTTAATTTATATTATGGAAAGTGACTCAAATCCTTCATCAATTGAAGAGTAAAAAAAAAAACCCATGCCACTTTGATTTACCATCCCCATAACTGATCTACCTACTTTAATCAGATGTACTAGTAAAAAATTTAAAGTAATAGAAATGGACAACATAATTTTTTAGACTTTTCTAGTAAAAGGGAAAAAAATTTTGTTGCCAAGATTTCAAATGGCTAAAGTACAAGAAGCAATTTGGAATAATTAATTTCATTCAAAACATCATTAAATATTGAAAACGATTTTCTTAACCTATCACCTCATCGTCAAGGAAAATATTCAAAAACGGTTAATTAATAATTGATTCAACTCCCATAAAATTTCTATAATATTCCTACTGAAAAATTTATAATTTTGACTTAACACGTTTTGCCTTTTGACCAAGCTCCGAAGAATATACTATATTTAAAATAGCCAACCCTGCTAGCAGAATATGTAATATTTGTATACTAATATTATAATATGTGGAATGTATAAGTAGGTATATAACTTACATAATTATCTATCATTACATTAATGATCAAAAGCTGATAACATTTTGGTGTTGATGGGATCACTTTAAAGGTAGCGTCTACATGTAGTTCTGTGGCATCCATTGCAATACATCTATCAATCAATGTTTGAGAACTAAAAATTATTGAATGATTTCCCGAGTTATCTACAACATAACCTAGAATTTAAAATGCTTTTAATAATATGAAATAAAAATTAACAAACACAGTGTACCAATTTAAACTTGTTTACCTGAATATGTACAGATAAACCTGCATTTATATCTACTTATAAATAACCAGCAAAAATAAAATAAATAATACAATTATTAACCTTTATATATAAGTTCTCCACAAGCTTGAAACCTATGAAGCAGTCCAGCATCGAATTGGTCAGCTAAGTCCTTAAGTGTTTCTGGCACATTTGGCAACGATCGTTTTCTAGACAAACGCATCAAACTTTCTGCTGATTTCCACGAATAATGTGCAGCAACTTCAGGATTTCTATGTATTAGCATAAATAAATGCATAAAAATATATAACAATTATTTCATCAATAGTTAAAACTAAAAAAAAAGAATTCACAATAGGGTACATCTTGAGATTCAGGTACCTATATATTATATGTGTAATGGTAATATGTATGTGAATGGTACATAATAAAACATTATAGGTACATATATTATGTTCATGGCTGTATAACTAAGTATACATTAAAATTTAAGAGCATTTATTAAATATTATCATTTAAATAAAATGTATTACCTATAATAAATAAATTACACCAACATATTATAAGCTAATTATTAAAACTTAAAAACTGAAAATACAGTCAACTCACCATCTAACTTCCTGTTCGTACAAAATATTTAGTGGAGTATTTTCATTAACACTTCTTGTTTTTAAACTCTTTTTAAAACTACGTAATGATAAGAAGTTTTGATCAGGGTCATGATTATGATGTTTAACAAGTTGACTGCCTTGAGTATCATATATAATACACAACTAACTATCCAATTTCGTCCTATACATTTTAACGGAAATACCAACCTTGCCTTGAGTATCGTATATGCTTCTCACTTGTCAGACGAATCTCGTCCTATAGAAATATTGTAGTCCAACCAAGTTGGTCACACTACTTTTTTGAATAATATCGTTATTTTTCTTCACACGCTTATTTATTTCATGATAACAATTCGATTTTTGATAAAAATTAATCGATTTAAACTGAGTATCATATTTGATACTCAGGCCCCAGTGGAATTTATATACATTTTTTGCGTTATTGTTTTTATAGTTTTGGTTATTTTAAGTCATTATATAAATAATAAATTAATAAATCACTATCATGGACAACCTATTGCGCTATCATTTTAACTATTTTGTAATTTCCACAAAAATAGTTAAACGTTTTTCACAAATTTTGTTCAAAAAAAAAAATTAATTATGAATGAGAACAACATATCAGAGTTACTGGATCAGGATATGTCGGATTGGTCCGACGATGATGACTCGGATGCTGATCCCGATTTTCAATTAGAGGTATATCTTTGACTGTACATAATTTGTAGGTACTTAGTGTTATCTGTACATTATACATTATTTTACACTGTTTTTTATAGAATGATTCAAGCGATGATTCAAATTATCGTTATGACCTATTTGCACTTGGTAATGAACATGAAGATGATATTGATATTGCGATTCCACCAACGCCTGTTACTGTTCCTTCATCAATACGTCATGAAGATGCATCAGAACCCTTATGGAATGATGTTGATGATGCCTTTCAATCGAACGTATTATTCAACCCAAAAAATGAGCCAGTGGGCATTAATCCTGATGTTATTGAAACCCTAATCGAAGGTAGCCCTTATGATTTTTATTCGTTATTTTTGGACGATGATGTGATACATTTATTGGTTAAAGAAACTAACAGATATGCGAAGTCTTTATTGTCAACCAGAATCAGTCCACACTCACGGTTACATACATGGGTAGATGTTACTTCTGTTGAAATGAAAAACTTTTTAGGTATTATTATGTGGATGGGTTTGTGTCCCCAACCATCAATTGCTTCATATTGGAAAAAAAGTAAAATATATGTATCTTATACACCAAAATATATGACTAGAAAAAGATTCGAACTTCTTTTGCGCTCATTTCATTGTTGTAATAATGATGACTGTCCTCCTGGTGACCGTTTATTTAAAGTAAGTGGATTACTTGACTTACTTTTATCAAAATATAAAATGGCACGTACACCAAAAGAGTCTATGTGCATTGACGAATCCATTGTTCCTTTTGTAGGTCGTCTTTCATTTAGACAATATATACAAAATAAAAGACACAGATACGGTATTAAGATATTTAAATTGTGCATTGACAATTTCTATACTGTTGGATTCAAAATTTATGCTGGTAAGGAATCTGTTGTTGGCCAGAGAGTATCAACTAGAATTGTTACTGAAATGGCAGAAGAATACCTGGATATGGGTAGAACAATGTACACCGACAATTGGTATAGCAGCTATGACTTAGCCACTGAACTTTTAAAAAGATCTACTCATTTGGTTGGTACTCTGCGCTCAAATAGAAAAAACAACCCCACAGAAGTTATAAAAAAGAAATTAAAAAGAGGAGAAGTTATAGCTAAACAATGCAATAAAGGTATAACAGTATTGTAATGGAAAGACAAGCGTGATGTATTAGCTATTTCTACAAAGCACTCTGCAGCCATGGTTAAAACAACTAATAAATTTGGATCAGATGTAATTAAACCAAAACTTATATTAGATTATAATAAGGGTAAATCATTGGTGGATGTATGTGATCTTCGAAACTCATATCATAATCCACTAAGGAGAACATTAAAATGGTATAAAAAAATTGCATTTGAATTACTTTTAAATACTTCAGTTCTCAATGCTTTATCATTGTATGAAGAAATAACTAAACAAAAAATAGATATTACTACATTTAGAGAAATCTTGATTGAACATTTATTAAGCAAAAATGAAGAGATTCCCACTGGAAATGAACACAAATTAGAAGAAACTAAGTCAAGAGGGCGTTGTGCTAGTTTTTATAAAAATATGGTGGAACAAGGTGGACGTTTATATGCTCAAAGAATTACTAGACAAATTAAAACTAAATGTGCTAGTTGCAAAAATTTTTATTGTATTCCGTGTTTCTCTGATGCACACAAAATAAATAAAAAATAATGAATTACTTAATTATTATATTATTTTGACAATTTGTTTAAACATTAATTGTTATATTTTGTATGCATAAATATTTAATTTTTTTTACTAATATTATGAACAATTATAATGAAAAATATATTAAAATATATATTATAATATATTAAAATATAAAGATTATTAAATTTCATAAATTTTTTCATTTTTCTAATTTATAGAAAGTATCATTTAATAAAGTTAGGAGAGAGGTCAAAACACCATAAAATTACAAATATTGTGTAGTATTTTATCCAATGGTTGTATTAACATTAACTCAGTGTTATGGAGTAGTTATTTAACTAAATAAATGAGTGCATATATGATACTCAAGGCAACCGTGGCAAGTTGTGTTGAGAAGCAAATGTGATACACGAGGCACGATTGGTAAGTTTGTGGTAATTTACATGGACGAAAAGGGAAAAAAGACTGTGTATCATATTTGATACTCAAGGCGATTTGGACAAGTTAGGTGAAATGGTCAGGGCAGTCAACTTGTTAATGCGTTTAATAACCTGAACATTATTTCTTTTCACAATTTTGAACGAGCCTCGACATAAGTACTTTGATGATTCTTGGCATTTATAGTACCTATAGTTATAAATTATAATTTATAAGTTTATCATATAAAAGTTAAATTTATGTATTGCATTTAAATACAAATATTTAAACATGTTTCATAGGTGTATAGGAACCTAATGATTATAATTGGGCTCAGCCCATATCGTTAGGTAATAATAAATAATTAATAATAATTCCTAGTTATTAGAAAATATTAAAACATTTGTATTTATATTGAAATTCTATATTTTTATATACCGTTGTATGATATAAAGATATAATATCTTAATTGATTTATACATTACAATAATATTTAAATATATTATTGAAGACAGTTAAATAATAATTACCACTAATATTTAATTTGTGTAGAAATTTCATCTATAACACAGTATTGGACATTTCATTAAACGAGAATTTATTTATTAATTGGGTCCACTTATTTAATATCCAATTTAGTATCCACAAAATTAATAATTAAATTAATAAAAAAATATAGAATAGCCTAAGAACATGATAGGTAGGTAACTACATTTTATTATGTAGGTAATATGGAAAAATTACTGCTTGCTTAGTTTACATTAATAATTTAATTAGTGCCTTGCTATTATTTTTGGATTCTAAGTGAAGCAACGAAGCTAGTGGTTTTACACTAGTTTATTTCTTCTTTTTGTATTCTATATAGGAAGCTACAAGCTAGTCTTATACTTATATTTGATGTCAAAAAGAATTGTTTATGATAGATTGAAAAAAGTAAAAAAGAATAGAAAAAGTTTACACATTTATGAATATATTATTTGCAATTCAAAATATAAATGTATACAGCATAGGCGTAACAAGAACTCAAAGTTAGGGGGCTTCAGCCATAGCATTTTTATAATAAGTACCTAAATAAGGTGGGGGCTTTGCCCCCAAATGTAATGTAAATTTAAATCAATAATTTAATATTGTATTTTATTATTAAAGAGTGTGTGTAATAATTATCATAAAAAAGAGGAATGAGGAGGTAAACATTAAATTAGGTATTAAAATGTGTTATTTTAGTTAATTATAGAGTTCTTGATTTTTTATAATATCAGTGAAAATTATAGAATTGATATGGGTAACATAATAATAATACACTAGTCATTACAGTTTAAGCTACTGCTCAGTGCTCACTGTATACTCAATAGGTACCTATATCATATTAGCATTAAAAAAAAAAAGGTTTCAATACCTATAATAGACAATTTAGAGAACTGATTAAGTTGAGTAGTTGACCTTTGTAGTGATCCCTCACTAACGCTTATATTTGAGTGACCGACGTCTGTAGTTGGACCAGGTTGATCAAAAGGAATAAGGTTTTTCGAAGAGAGACAAAGGCGCAATGTTAAATGAAGTATTTATTATGATTGAGTTAAACTTGTTATAAAATAAAATAAAATAATTGTTACAAAATGTTATAGAATTTTGAGGACAGCACGTTAAGTAACTGCCCGAGAACTTAGTTAAATCTACTTGTAGTTACTGGGAATGCACTTAGCCTGGCGGCGATGTAGAGTGCGCGGACTCTACGACCAGGTAAGTACTACATGTAGGGATGTGAGACTAATTCTGATTCTAAGGTGTACAGAGACTCATATTTATATGGTTCTCTGTACTCCCTGTTATACACGGTAGAGACTAGGAGGTGGACAAAAAGGCGAGTCGGCAGCTTGTTGTTATTGTAGCTGCCGAAAAGTGGTTTGCGACCAAAAGGTAATAAAAATTTGCAATATCATTTTAACTGGTTCTTCTCACGTCTTTGATTCTTGGAACTCGTAAAACGCAATAGTATTTGTGTAGACCATATGCCTTGCATTGATAGTTCCGAGAATCCGAAATAACATATTAAAATGTGAAGGCCGTGGCTTTAATGTAATAAAGTAAAAAAAATAGTGAATCGACTCCGTCGGTTTACTACACCTTATATAAGTATCTATTCAATGCATTGCTGAAAATGTTATCATATAACATTACTAGATATGGAACTTTTTGAAACAGAAAGTGATAAATGTAGTATTTTGTATACATTTAGAAAAGCAGATTTTTGAACTAGATCCCTCCTGGACATTTAAAATTATCCTAGTGATTGTTAAATGATATGCAATTAAACTATTAACAATTGATTATCCAACCAACATTTCTGATTTGAATTCAGTTTCATTTATTTTATATTCATTTAAGTATAAAAATTAGAGAAAACAAAATTTACTAATTTATTATAATAATAATAACGACGTTAATGATAATACGAACGATCAGACAACCATTGCACTTATGAAGATCGAATACAATGATAAATTATATTTTAATAAAATAGTATAAAATCTGATTGGTTAGGATAGCAAAATACCACTATATAGTTAGTCATTCGTTAGTCGTTAATTGTATCACCATTTATACATTAATGTTACAATGGAGATCTATTATTCTGGATGAAGATTATTTTTATGTTTACTTTATTGACAACTTCCATGTATTATGTACTATGTAGTAAAAACTACAGGACTTTTATTTAGGTATATAAAAAAAATAAAATTATATTTTAAATTTAAATTTAAATTTGTAAATTTAGCTACCGTTGGTGGGAGTATAGGAATTATGACGGGGGATCTAAAATAAAAGTTAGTGGGGCTTAGCCTCCCAAGTCCCCCTAGTTACGCCTATGGTATACTGTGAAACCTACCTTAACGGACAACTCAAAATAGCGGACTAAATTTCGGCGACCGAGGGTGTCCACTATTTGAAGGTTTCATTGTGTATTAATATTATAAGATTAATTAATTTCATTCTCAATAATTATCTATTACATATGTATATTATTAATTATTATATTAGTTATGTACTTACTCGGTATTATTTCTTTTTGAACCATTTTTTACATAAATGTACCTTTCATGCTCCATGATGATGGAAACAATTTAAAGATAAATATTAAATTTCAACTCACCAAAAGTCTATATAAATCTATATGATATGGATATTACACAGATAATAGATATTACACAGCCATTTCCTCTTATTGAAGACATAATGGTGAAAGCAGGAGATTGCACATGGTTCTCGGCTTTTGATATAAATTCAGCGTTTTGGTCAATCCCAATTAGGCAAAAAGATAGAAAGAAAACAGCTTTTGTAACTCAAAACGGGCATTGGCAATGGACATGTTTACCTTTTGGTTTAAAGATTTCACCAGCAATATTTCAAAGAACTTTAGCAAATATAATAAGAAAACACAATTTAAATGATTTTTGTATAAATTATATAGATGACATCTTAATTTTCTCAAAATCATTTAAACAACATGTACAACATATAGAATATTTATTGAGAACAATGAAGGAAGAAGGGTTTCGATTAAAAATGGAGAAATGCAACTTTGCAAAAAACTCCCTGAAATACTTAGGACATATAATTGAGAAAAATTCAATTACACCATTAAAAGATAATCTTAAAGCTATAAAGGAATTTAAAGAACCTAAAAATAAAAAAAATATTAGACAATTTTTAGGAAAAATTAATTTTTACTACAAATATATTGAAAATGCAGCAAAACAGTTAGAACCATTACATAATTTACTACGGAAAGATGTAAAATTTTGTTGGAAAGCAGAGTGTGAAAAAGCGTTCATTGGTATGAAAAAGTATCTATGTTCAAGTCCAATTCTATCAATCTATAGTCAAGATAAAGAGGTTTTTATTTACACCGATGCCAGTGGAGATGGGCTAGGTGCAATTCTAAAACAACCACAAGAAAATGGTATACTTCACCCAGTTGCATATTTCTCAAAAAAATTAAACTCAAGTCAAAGGAAGATTCAAGAAAAGTGGTAGAAAAGGGAAAAATTAAATTCAAAAATCTTAAGCATAGGCAAAGAATTTATGTTTCCCAAAAATTTGGATTCAAATTAATAAAGAAAATACATGAAAACTATGGACACATTGGTGTTAGTCATATAAGTGAACTTTTAAGACCATATTATTATTTCAAAAACATGGATACAATTATACACCAGTTTGGTAGTGCATGTGAAGTATGTATAAAAAACAAATCCAGAAGAAGCCAACAAATTGGGTTACTATCAAAACTAGGTCCAGCGACAAAACCATATGAAATAATGTCCATTGATTCAGTAGGAGGTTTTGGTGGTAACAAATCAACAAAAAAATATTTACATATGTTAGCGGATCACTTTACCAGATATGCATTTATTTCCACATCAAAGGGTCAAAATGCAAGAGACTTTATTAGTTTAATCGACCCAGTAGCAAAACAACACCAGATAAAAATCATTCTAGCGGATCAATACACTGGTATCAACTCAAAAGAAGTCAAAAACTATATGAAATCAATGAATATCACACTGATATTTACATCAGTGGATTGTCCGGAATCAAATGGGTTAAATGAAAGATTAAATCAGACATTAGTTAATAGAATAAGATGTAAAATTAATAGTGGAGAAGAGAGGGGAGCATGGTCTAAAATTGCTGAAAAATGCATAAGAGAATACAATAGAACAACACATAGTGTCACAAAATTCTCACCAGTTTATCTCCTAAACGGTATAAAATCTAATATTGTACCAACAGAGCTTCAAGAAAATAATTATAATTTAAAAGCAGACAGAGATAAAGCATTAAAAAATTCAACAAATAACTATGAAAAAAACAAAAAAAGAGTGGATAGGACCAGGATAGATCACACATTTCAAGAGAATGACCTAGATTACATTGAAAATGGTAACAAAATGAATAGGAATAAATTAGATGAGATCAGAAGCGGACCATTCCGAATAATAAAAAAGGTATCAAATACTATATATGAAGTTGAAGGGCCTAAAAAACGTAAAGAAATCAACTTCTATCACAGCAGCAAATTAATTCCAGTTAAGAGGATGTCACAGTAGACAAAATATGACATAAAAACATGGTTTCGTACTTCCAGGAATACGGTTTATTGAAGCGTTTTACGGTATAAATACCTATTACAAAAATTGTAGAGGAGAATTTTTTCTAGAAACGTAAGAAGTCCGATTTTCGATATTTTTATTAATTAGTTAAATAATTAATTGATAAAAAGTTTAAAAAAACGTGTTTATTTACCATGCGATATTGGACGATTGGAACAAGATATCAAAAATCGGGCTTCTTACGTTTCTAGAAAAAATTCTCCTCTACAATTTTTGTAATAGGTATTTATACTGTAAAACGCTTCAATAAGCCGTATTCCTGGAAGTACGAAACCATGTTTTCGGTAAAAAAAAACGTTTAATTACGCTCGTCATGTGCTGCGCCCGTTACAGCCAGCGGCAGCGCTCGATACTAGGTGTTCATACCACCACCCCGCGCGCGTAACGGCAGTGCCGCACCATGGTCAAAATAGGTTTCCTATCGCAGCCGTGCGCCTGTACGTAGATTATAAATAACCAGATAAGAAAATGATTATTATATTTGTGACAAATATTATTTAATTTGGTTCGGTTTTATATTTTCTATTCGTATCCGAATTTTATACTAATAAAAACTATACTTTTGTTCTTCAAGTAATACGGCGTATTGAAGCGACTTACAACAAAACTACCTATTATAAAAATTGTAGCGGACAATTTTTTTAACAATCGTAAGAAATCCGTTTTTTGATATCGTATTCTAATCGTCCAATATCACATGGTAAACTAACACGGTTTTTAACTTTTTATCCATTAATTATTCAACTAATTAATAAAAATATCAAAAAACGGGCTTCTTAAGATTGTTAAAAAAATTCGTCTCTACAATTTTTATAATAGGTAGTTTTGCTGTAAACCGATTCAATAAGCCGTATTACTTGAATTATCGAACTATTTGGGTATGATAAAAAAACTAATTATTACGATATCGGAATAATTAATAATAATATAAGAAAAAAGGTGGGCAAGTGGGTGTCGCTCTGCTGTACAGTAGGTTACAAGTGGGTCACTGTATAATGGATGATATTAAATTTGAATTCAACGATACAATATTACAATATCATTGTATAAGAAAAACGATTCTGAGAGGAGACGGTATGTCAGTCTAGGTATAAGACAATAAGACATATTATAATATTATATACATATCTATAATAAGGTACCTATAATAAATTCCAAATTAATCATATCACAATATCCATTAGGTACTTATAAATCGTTATACATCAACAAAAACCGTGATACTATCATAGATATATGTAATAGTACACTTTAGAAGTTTCAAGTACCCACGAATAATTTTATACATTCACAACAAATAAGTAAAATAGTTATTCTAGGTTTTTTAATATGTAATTTCGTCCAAATTTGAATTTAAAATGTCTGTAAAAAATAACTGTGTTGATATATTTTTTAGATTTTTTGGTTACAGTATGAACTATTTATGAGGACCTTTGTTTTAAATTTGCAATCCTTAGCTATAAAAACTGAACATTTTTTAATTTATTAATTACGATGATTAATAATTTTCGAGATTTTGAAAAATTCTGTCAAAATTCGATGTTTAAATGCTTATAAAAAAAAATTGTGCCTATGTATTTTTAATATTTTTCAACTGATATTGTAACAATATATCAGGAGCCTTGTATTAAATGTTTACACTTTTTGGCCGAACAGATAAAACTTTATTAATATTCATAGAAAAAAAAACTAAAAAAATTGAAAAATGAAAATATCCGTAAACAGCTCAAAAAGAGTCGAAATATTTTCAAAATTGTATGGTGTATAGGAAATGCTAATATAAACATTCAGTGAAATTTTCATGTATCTATAGTTATTCGTTTATAAATAACAACAAAATAAGGAAATCGCTACATGAGAAATCGAGTGAACATCCAATGTTGTAAAAATTTGAATTTCAAACGCTCATAAAAATTTAATTTGACTGTCTGGTAGAGATTTTTTTATTGATAAAGATAGACAAACTTATGAGTAATCTTGTATTACATTTTCAAATCTTAGATTTAAAAAGAAAAATTTTTGCGAATTCTTAACTCAAAATAATTTGCTAATTTTCGTGATTTTTCCATATTTTGTCAATTTTTGAACTTTAAATGCTTATAAAAAAAAACTGTGACTAAGGATTTTTAATATTTTTCATCTGCCATTGAAACAATATACTAGGAGCCTTCTATTAAATTTTCAAGTTTTTTTAACCAACAAATAAATATTAATTGATATTTCTAGAAAAAAAACTAAAAAAAAAAGAAAAATGAAAATGTCCCTAAACAGTTCAAAATAAATCAAAATATTTTGAAAATGTTATCGTGTATAGAAAATGCAAATATAAACAACCAGTGAAAATTTCATGTATTTACGGTCATTTGTTTTAAAGTTACACCAAAAACCAAATTCGATTTTGTCAAAAACCGATTTTGCGTAAAAATGCCCGTTTTTCCTTAATTTTTATGTTGTTTTTCCCGGCGCTTGTGAACACTATTGGGAAATTTAAATTTTGACCTCCCCAATGCACCAACGATATTCACTTTCCAATCGAACAAGATACTGAAGTCGAAAATCGAAGCATTATTTCGACTACTTATCGTGTACACATCATTGTAAAATCAATACATTCACCGTTCCACTCTGCAGAATCTAAAATTCAATTTTATTTTTAGATAACAAAATAATAATTTCTTATAGTTTTATTGTTTTTTTTAGCTCTATAACTAGAAAGGCAAGGGCATAATATTATAGTTGCTTTTTAAGTCTTTTTTATGTTTTTTTTTTTTTTAAAATTGGTACACAAAACGGTTATTATCTATGGCGTTTTCAGTCTGTTGTCGTTTTTGATCAATTAGCCCCTCACGAACAACTGGACATGATTACGACTTCTGCGGTATCAACGAGGGGGTCCGTCTATAGATATAGAACAATGTTAATATCATTTAGGTTAGGTTAGGAACAATTTTAATATCATTGGAAAGTGAATATCGTTGGTGCATTGGGGAGGTCAAAATTTAAAATTCGCAATAATTTTCAAAAGCGCCAAGAAAAACAAAAGAAAAATTAAGGAAAAACGGGAATTTTTACGCAAAATCGATTTTGGTTTTTGGTGTAACTTTAAAACAAATGACCGTAGATACATGAAATTTTCAGTGGTTGTTTATATTTGCATTTTCTATACACGATAACATTTTCAAAATATTTTGATTTATTTTGAACTGTTTAGGGACATTTTCAGTTTCCAATTTTATTATTTTTTTTTTTTATGTATATCAATAAAAATTTATTTGTTGAGTAAAAATACTTGAATAAGACATTAAACAAGAAAATGAGATTACGATTTGAAGTTACAAATTCTAAAAAATGGATTAAAATTTTACAAAAATTAATATATGAATATAATTTCGAAGACATACATCGATCTATTGGTATGAGACCTTGTGAAGTAAATAAATCTAACGAAGATGTTGTTTTTCACAAATTATTTTCTACAAAAGACAACCCTAAACCAAAAATTAAATTTAGTGTAGGTGATAGAGTAAGAATAACAGCTTCTAAAAAAACATTTGATAATAAATTTAATAAAAATTGGACTGATGAAATATTTATAGTTAATGAAATTTTAAACACAATTCCTATTACCTATAAAATTATAGATTTAAACAATGAAGAGATTATAGGGAGTTTTTATAACGAAGAGTTACAAAAAACAGTATTTTAATAATATGACCTAAGTTAAAGGAAGTGATATCTATTATAGTATATTTTATAAATATACTATAAAATATTTACGGTATCAAGCCTATGATTATGAAATTATAAAGTTGGGAGACACCGTGTCTCCCAACTCATTAGGATATCATATTCTAGTAACCGTATGGTATTGTATCATAATCTGGTAATATTATTCTTTTATCATAACCAAACGAGAATTTTTTTGTAACTTTCTTATTAACTATATTTTTAGTAAGCGTATCACGTGTTATTTGATTATATTCTAGTTCTATATTACTATCTTTATTTTTTTGTTCAATTAATTTTATCATTGATTCACCGTTAAGTTTTAGCAAATTTTGATAATTCAAAGTAAATCCCTTTATAACCGTTTGATGTTTATTATCGTTTGTTTTATAATAATAACTTTTAGGACCTGTAGATGCCCAATCTGTAATATGTACATTTTCACCTAATTCATCAGTCCATTCTCCCAACATTGTTCCTGTTTTAATTTTATTAACACCATTATCTATATAGAAAATAGAATCGGTATCAAAATAAGCTACAGCTCTACCTAATTTATCTAGCATTTCATATAATCTTAATCTTGCACTAGATGTTGTAAATAAAGCTATTAATATATTTGTATTATGAAAATTCTCAACGTAATAATCTTTATAATTATAACACATTTGTATCATATTGTCGTTTAATATTTTTATATTGATATTTTCTAATCTATCATCTAATAATATTTTATAGAATTGTTGTGGATCTGTAACAAACTCAGTTTTTTTCATTTTTTGTCGTTGTCCAAATTTTCCCCATAAACTATTTAAACACAGCTTTGCTACAGCTCTCCTACCTGGATTATCACCTAATTTTAATTTATCTAATAAAATACCCATTTTATCGAAAATTGTTTTTATATACTCATCATTACAGCTATAATTATGTTTTGAACTTTCTAATTTTATTTTTATAAAATTATCTACATAATCTTTAAATAAATCTGTTGATTTCATTTCAAAATACCACACTTCATAAATTTTTGTTATAATATATCCTTTTTCCAAAGCTTTATTAACTTCATCTGTTGTCCATGTTCCTATAAGTTGTCTTTCATTTTTAGAATGATCACATCTTTGATTTTGGTCTACAGCACATTTATAACACAAAGGAAATAATAACTTTTCACTTTTTTCCATTTTTATTTTAACTGGAAGTACAGGATGATAAAGATTTCTTGGAGGTAAAATTTTACATTTAATTAAACCAAACCATTTTGTATCATATTTTTTTGGATTAAATATTTTTACGGGATGTCCTTCAGGATAATAATCATAATAATTCACAGTTGGATATAAACTACATACATCAATATAACGCATTTTTGTGTTTTTTACCCTTAATTTTGTCGCATTTGTTCTACCTCCAAAGAAAGCATCTCTAGGATTAATAGGGTCAGCTATATCAGCTTTTTTCATTTTTTTGTATGTAGTGCTATTTATCCAATCACATTCCCATTGCTCAACAAGATTATAACCAGCTTTTTTTATTGCTGTACTTCTTTCAATTGTTTTTTGATACAAATCATCCATTGTTTCATGATTTATATTATTTATAGTTTCTCGATCTTTATAACATTTAGTACAACCGTGCCAAAAACATCCATGATATTGATAAACCGTTTTTGATTTATTATCAAATCCATCTACTTTAGCTCCTGCTATTATTATTTCGTTCCCATTTAATGCATGTGAGATATTTTTATTATTAAAATTTTGTAACCACGTTATCGATTGTTTTGAATAATTTTCATTTTTTTCTTTATCTAAAACAGCTATAGTATCGTCGAACAAATATTTTGATCTGTAAATACTCATACAAACACCTGCTATAGTTGTATAGCAAAAAGGATCAATGCTAGCTATATCCAAAAATTGTTTTCTTAATTCTAAACATCCTCTTCGTAAAATATCTACATCTGAATTACAGTAAGCCTCTAATTCTTCTTTAAAAATAAATATATAATTTTCATTAATTTTTTCATTATACCATTTTTCAAATTCTAGTTTATTCTCTGGTTTCATTGTTTCGAATCCATAATATTTTTTATCAGGTAATTTACCAATATAATTTTGATTTTCTACTGTATTAAAGAAATGCGGAAAGTAACCTTTTTTCAGTTCTTTGAGACCAAACGTTTTGGGAAAACTACTGAGAAGACCTTGAATAAAATTAGAACTATCTATTATTCTTATTTTTAAATATTTAATTTCTAATAACATTAATTTTGTACCATTATAAATTTTAAATGGTTTCATAGTGTTATCAACCAAGTATTTCAATATAAATTGTGAATCGTATCCTTTTGCATAATGTGCTATAAATGTATAACCCCTATATTCCTCAGATATTACTTGTTTACAAAATTCTTCATTTGTATCAAACATAATTTTATTTCCTTCAAAATCATGAGCAATTATTTTATTTGCGATATGAGTTCCTGTTTCTTGTTGAGCTTCATAATCAAAAAACAAATATTTTTCTGTATAAGAACATTGATATGGTTTATTTTGTACCTCCACATTTTGTACATCCTACTAAGCATTTACCTCCTTTTGCTAATCTACTTTGCATATAACATTGATGTTCATTTATTTTCACTTCTTCTAGACAAGTTCTACATTTACTATAACCACAATTATGTTCCCTATCTCTAAACAATATTCTATTACAATCAATACATTTATATACATAGGCACATACATATTCGTGATTATCTAAACATTCTTGATTATAACAATATCTATTACATTTTTCACAATATATTTTATTTTTTGTACTAATTGAATGTTCAAATCTCTCACCATAATATGTACACAATTTACATATATTTTTATTTTTATTTTTATTTTTACCACATTTATGTTTATCTTTATTTTGATATGGTTTATCGCACTTATTACAATAATAACACGATCCGTAGAAAGCTTTAGCTGATTTAATAACATCAAAATGATTACCATTTTTATACAAATAAATTTTAGTTTCTTTATCCTCACCCTTATAAATTAAAGTATTTAAATTTTCAGCACAAATAACATTTATTTGAATATCTAGTGCAAGTTCCACATTCTTAATATCATTCAATGTAAATCCTTCTTCGTTATATTCTGGTAACATATTACATAATTCTAAAGCTAAATCTTTTTGAATTTTTCTACCTATCTTCAATTGTTTAATTTTATTGGGGTCTAAAATATGACCTAAAATATTGTTTGTTTCAGTAGATAATGCAACAACAATAGCTCTCGGGCAACATTATCATCGTTATTAATCTAAACAATACTTTTTTTTGTTTTTTTATTTTCTGATAAATTAATTATTTTAGTTCTCCTTGAACCTCTTGGTATTTTCACTAATTGAACTTGAAAAGTAGTTTCTGTTATATCAATTGTTTCAGCTGAAGTTAATATGTTAACAATAATTGATTTTAAGTTTGTTAAAAAATTATCAGATTTCATACCAGTAGATATAGTATTTTTTAAATTTGGATTCATCACTATAATATTTATTTGATCACCTTTTTCATAACTTGAATTTTTTCAGACAAGTTTTAACATGGAATCTAGAGCTTTATGTACATAATCAATTTTGTATTTTGCATTACACAGCTTTAGATCTTTTATTAAAACTTCTCTAAACCGAATTTTATATTCAGCTTCATGTATTTTAAATTTCTTTTGGATTTGTTTATTCATTTGAATTATATCTATCAAATCATAAACATCTGATGTTTTTTCTAATGAACTATTAAAATAATTTTCTTCGGTGAAAATTGTTTTTTCTAACTTCTGAAATGGATTATTGTTTAATGAACTATTAAAAACTTCATCCTTGAATATATCTTCTTGAAATTTACGAAAAGGTTGTTGCTTTCTTGTTAATTTAATTTTTTTTACTAAACATTCTTTATTAAGTTTGTAAATTTGTTTTATATCAAAACTTCGAGCTATTGACTTAAGCTCAGAAGTTGTTAAATCGCGAATTGTATGACCTCTCCTAATTCTTGATATAAGATCATTTTTTTTAAGGGTACTATAACCCTTAAGTTTAGCCTCTTTTGCTATTAACTTAAGCTCAGAGACTTTCATATTTTCTAATATGCTTATAGA